TCAGAGACACCCAATTTCCTCCATCTTGTCCCCTTTGGACCCCAAATCTAGAATCCTAAAATTTCACTTTTGCACACTTAAATATTACTGATATCAAACCCTCAGAGCTGGTAATTCATCCTGTGAGATTGAAAACTGAGCTGGGCTGAGCTGAGCTGGGCTGAGCTGAACTGGGCTGGGCTGGGCTGGGCTGGGCTGGGCTGAGCTGCCCGGGGACGCTGCGGCCGCAGGTGGCACCTGTGGCATTGTCACAGCACCTTCCACCCCCACAGGCACCGCCACGTGTGGGGCAATTGTGGGGACAATTGTGGGGACAATTGTGGGGCAATTGTGGGGACAGTTGTGGGCACAGTTGTGGGGACAGTTGTGGGCACAGTTGTGGGGACAATTGTGGGGACAGTTGTGGGCACAGTTGTGGGGACAGTTGTGGGGACAGTTGTGGGGACAGTTGTGGGGACATTTGTGGGGACAATTGTGGGGACAATTGTGGGGACAGTTGTGGGACAATTGTGGGGACAGTTGTGGGAACATTTGTGGGCACAGTTGTGGGGACAGTTGTGGGGACAGTTGTGGGGACAGTTGTGGGACAATTGTGGGGACAATTGTGGGGACAATTTGGGGACAGTTGTGGGGACAATTGTGGGGACAGTTGTGGGGATAATTTGGGGACAGTTGTGGGGACAGTTGTGGGGACAGTTGTGGGCACAATTATCGCGGCCCCCACAGCGATCCCTCCCCTCCTCTTCCCAAACTTGCGCCGGATCAGCGGAGTCCCAGCAGCCGCTCCGGCTTTTCTCGCTTCCCTGATGTCCCAAAAATGGATTTGGGGATTAGGAGGGGACTCTGCTCCCTGGGCTGCCTCGTCCGTCCTGGTCCTCGGGGCACGGCGAGAGGAAAAGAAATAAAGGGAGGGACTGGGAGCAGGCAGGGATGGGAAAAGGGGGGAAAGAGAAGAGGGAGATAGAGGAGTGGGAAAGGAGAGGAGTGGGAAAAGAGAGGTGGAGCAAAAGAGAGGAATGGGAAAAGAGAGGAGGGGGGAAAGGTAAGGGGGGAAAAGAAGGAATGGTTAAAGAAGAGTGGGAAGAGTGGGAAAAGAGAGGAGTGGGAAGAGAGAGAATGGGAAAAGAGAGGAGGGGGAAAAGATAAGGGGGAAAAATAAGGAATGGTTAAAGAAGAGTGGGAAGAGAGAGGGGAAAATAGGAGTGGAAAAACAGGAATGGAAAAAGAGAGGAGGGGAAAAGAGAGAAATGAGAAAAGAGAGGAATGGGAAAAGAGAGATGGAGGGAAAGATAAGGGGGGGAAATGAATGGTTAAAGAGGAGTGGGAAGAGTGGGAAAAGAGAGGAGTGGGAAGAGAGAGATGGGGAAAATAGGAGTGGAAAAACAGGAGTGGGAAAAGAGAGGAGGGGGAAAAGAGAGGAATGGGAAAAGAGGGGGGGAGATAAGGGGGGGGAAAGGAATGGTTAAAGAGGAGTGGGAAGCGAGAGAAGGGGGGAAAATAGGAGTGGAAAAACAGGAGTGGGAAAAGAGAGAAATGAGAAAAGAGAGGAATGGGAAAAGAGAGGAGGGAAGATAAGGGGGAGGAAGGAATGGTTAAAGAGGAGTGGAAAGAGAGAGATGGGGAAAATAGGAGTGGAAAAGCAGGAGAGGGAAAAGAGAGGAGTGGGAAGAGAGAGAACGGGGAAAAAAGGAATGGTTAAAGAGGAGTGGGAAAAGGAGAATGGGAAAAGAGAGGAGGGGAAAGGAGGAGTGGGAAAAGAGGAGTGGGGGAACAGAAGGGTGGGGAAACAGAGGCCGGGCTCTGGGACTGAGGATGGGGCAGGGACGAGGCCCTGGCACCGCGTTCGTGCACCCCCTCCACCCCCCGACCCTCTCCCACCCCCAGTTTAACCCCCAGATTCCTGCTTGGACCGCGGGAGCTCGGCCTGGGGAGCCCTGGAGAGGGCTGGAGCACCCAGCGGGAGCTGAGCTGCTCCAAACACAGCACGGAGCAGAAACCTCCCCTCCCTCCTCCAGTGCCAACAGGACCCCGACCATTTTATTTACCTTCCTTCGCCCTCCTCCCGGCTAATTATCGAGGTGGACCCATTAGAGCCGAGAGTCGCAGAGGCCACCAGGAGCCGGGGCTTCATTTTATTTCTGTTTCCCCCTCACAACAAAGCGGATGAGCGGAGAGCCCCGCGTGCCTCTGATGGCAGCACTCGGCTCTCGTCCCCTCGAGTGCCATTAACGCTAATTAAGCTCGCGGAGCCCCTTTCCAGGCAGGGTGAGAGGAGCGCTGGGGAGCGGAGAGGGATCCGGGAGAGGCTGTGGAGCCGGGATCTGTCCAGGAACGGGCAGGAGATGCTGGGGCTGGTTGGGAATCCACCTGCCAGGCACCTAAAAATCGCCACAAACCCCTTTTCCTCCTGCGGGCATTTTTAGAGAACATTCCTGGCTTTATCCAGGATGGAGAAAAAGCCATTTTTAATTAATTAAATATTTAATAAAAACCATTTTAATTAATAATAAATTAAAGCCATTTAAAGCCATTTTCTGGCGTTATCCAGCATCTCCCAAGCACAGACTCCCAGCCGGAGCCTGGCCAGTGCCCGACCACCCTCGTGGGCAGGGGAAGAACCTTTCCCTGGTGCCCAGCTGCGTTGTAAATGCAGGTGAACCCAATGGGAAGAAATGACCGTGTCTGAGTCAATTCAGAAGGATGAATTATTTCTTTATTATAACTACGCTAAAATACATTAATATACTAATAGGATACTAAATAGGATACTAAAACTACATACTACTTTCTCTGACTCTAACTCCAGCACAACTTGTGACCCTCTCTGGGCAGTCCAGCCCCAGGTGGGTTGGATTGGATTGGATTGGATTGGGTTGGGTTGGGTTGGGTTGGATTGTGTTGGATTGGATTGGATTGGATTGGATTGGGTTGGATTGGATTGGATTGGATTGGATTGGATTTATGGATTCAATTGGGTTGGATTGGATTGGATTGGGTTGGATTGGATTGGATTGGATTGGATTGGGTTGGGTTGGATTGGATTTATGGATTGAATTGGGTTGGATTGG